TTACTACTGATCCTCGCTTCCTTGTATCCTCTCTGGGACTGCTTCCAAACTTTTTTTCTTTCCTAGTGAAAAATCTCTTTCAGAGCCTAGATCTTACCTCTGAACCACCGCCATACGAGCTTGCAAACTCTTTTGCTGAGTTGCATGATGGCAACAAGGAGGATAACAGAACCAAATTGCCAGAAAGGTCTGTGTTGCCTTGGAACTACCGCATGCCACGAGCACAACTTCCCCTTACAGAACGCCACCATCATCGCGACGGAATTCAGATGCATCAAAGAAGTTACTGCGTGCCACTGATTCGCTGCTCATAAAAAATAGTCAGAAATTGCAAAGGAAAGAGATGATCAGCCCGATTGTTGCAAGGTAAGCAGTGAAATGCCCCAAAAGAAGTGAGCAATTTAGGATTTTGAGAGATTTTAGGTCGGTGCGTATGCTAGATTCCGTGTCAGACTCGTCAGATGCGGATGATTCGTCGTGGAGTAGTCCTGTGAGGACTCCTCTTTCTTTGGACAGTGAGACTAAAAAACTTCTTAATGGGTTAGTGAGGTCCACCACTATGTAGAGAGGTATTTCGTAATACAATAAAGTAATTTAGCTCTTCTGATGAGATGCTGTTCAATGGTGGAAGACGAGAGTCGATTGAAACATTGATCAGTAGTGTTCATGCTCAACAGGTATCCAACCTTTTGCCTTGAGAGCCCTTTACCTTACCAAAAATAGACTTACTTTAAATCGTGTCATAACTTAGGTGCCAAATCTTGAGAGCCTCATCTTGTTGTACCATGACTCGAATGGAGTTAATCCAACAAAAATTGATAAAAATGGAGTGGCACCGCTGACGCCATCAAAAATCGCAGACGATGATTTGACGTGAGTTAAGGTGTTCTGCATTTCCACGTTGTCTTCTGGAGGTTTCAGATGTCATTTTAGTCCAATTGAAAAGCCAGCGGCTCCAATGGCGTCGATAGAGGAGGAGATGACAATCAGTCAAATCACAGCCGCTTCATAAATT